CAATAAATCAACTATATCTTCAGAAGTTCTCGAGAAATTTTGTAGGGGCATTCTTGAATTAGTGTAGATTCGAAAACCTAAATAAATTTTTTTGACACCGGGAATGGTGGAGGGTCCCCTTAAGGGGACCCCCCATTCTCAGGGTCAAAAAAAAGATTAGAATCTACACTAATTCAAGAATGTCCCTACAAAATTTCAAGTGAAAACTCAAGAGCTCTTGAAGATATAGCCGATTTATTCTGTCAGCATCATGTGACGGCTGAAGGGCTTCTCAAACTTTAAACGCGTTTTTTCTCTAAACGAATGGTGGACACGATAATTCAAAAACTAATAACTCAATCGATTCCAAATTTTTACACGTTTCTCTGTGAGTGTATAGCTATCGTATGAACTAGGATAAAGCCAGTCGGTGAAGAACTTCCTTATTTTTTAACTTGGGTTTTGGTCAAAAATCGAGGATTTTCCTAAAATATTTTTTTAAAGGTCCGCCATTTTGTTAATTTTAGAGCGAAGTCAATAATCCTATTTCAGTACTTTTAACACCGTTCGAATTTTCGGATTCCGATGTTCCAGTGAGGAGTTATCATGCCTGCCATCAAAAATAAGGACTTTTCTTTAATTACAAAAAACAACAACAAAACAATAAAAAATTTGTTTGTAAATTATTTTTCTTCTCTTTTACATCTTCAAATATATATGCAAAGTTACATACCTTAACAAGCATTGGTATTGATTTACTAGCCCTTTGAAAATCTTGAAAAATTAAAATCGGAATGGGGGGGGGGGTTCCCTTAATTGAAATATAAGGGGAGGTGTTGCCGACAGATAGACATATACCCTCAGCCTATGGAAGTAGGTCTTCGGAATTACACACAGGTATAAAATTAATTGTTTGCGTAATTTTGACCATTTTGTGGGGGAGGGGTGGATCAGCCGGCCAGACAGACGAACGGGCAGACATTTGTATATCGACTCTAAATTGTCTGAAACGGATATGGATATTTCGAGGAGGCAAATTAATCTATATCAAAGTGTATATAAAAGTCTGAGGCTATAAAAATATGTTAGAAATAACTGCCACTTAGAGTATAGGAAATGTTATGTTGTTCTCCAATTAATTCTGTTAATTTTTTTTTTTTCAAAATTTAATGATAGTTTTGTAGCGTGTTATATGGTCGATTCCATAAGACTATAGCTTTGCTTACTGTCATTTATATGCTTCATAGTCCCACATATTTAAAACTATATATTATAGTTTATTGAGAGAACATGAACTCTCATGGCTGGTAATTAAATTTACTGTCAACGAAATTAACCTTTGAATAGGAATAAATTCAATTTTCAACATACAATATCATTTTTGTTTTGCTCTATAAATGTATTAGCATTCAAAACACACAATGTAATTTTGTTTCAACTGTTGCACAGTGCTGATATTTTAAATAGGGTAAATATACTAAAAAAATTGGTTAAAAAAAATTACAATATTTTCGACAAACAATGGAACAGAAGCTACATTTTTTTGACATATGGCAATGACATTTTTTTGACTTCTTAGCAGAGAGGATTTATGTCATTTGAGACCTGGTACTCCCAATCTTTGGTAAATTTAATTGAAAATATAGCTAAATTTCCTATTTTTTTCCTGAATTGTTTATTTCTGACATAAGCAATTTAATAAAAACCCTGCGTATCAAAATTGTTATTAAATTTATGAGAGATAATTACAAAAAAAAAAAATAAAAAAAAAATATTTCCTGGAAACACTATTTTAATTTACATATTCATAAGTTTGCTATCTTCAAGGATTTTCAGACAAAGAAAGAACAGCTAAACGCTGACATATGAATTAAAAACGCGAGATAAGATTATATCGAAACCACCCCTTAATAAAATTATAATATTTTTATATTCGATGTTCATAGAAAAGTGAAATTAATGCTTTCATATGAAAGGGAAATTTGTTGTCATGTTTGTGTTTTTTTGTCGTTGTTGTTCTTCTTCTTGGCAACTTGTGACATTTAATTATAGAGAATAGAACGTATAATGACGATATACAGTCAAACATGATTATGATCAACTTTGTATGACTGACATTTCTATTCGCTATATTCAGTATGTCATAATAGAGTGTATATACAGTGATGTGCAATAAAATAGATTCACCACAACATAACATCTTTGAGGTTGATAAACACACACCTTTAAAAGTTATTAAATCTAACGGGGTTATATTCATAAGAGGTGTTTGAGAACCAAATACAGCTTCTTATTTACAAATACTTTCAACTATACTAGACTGAGATATGAATCAATTTTTTTGCACAACACTGTATATATTTATATGTGTGTTTATATGTATATTTCTGTTTATCATTGTGGTTAGTAATAACTACATTTACAATACTCTACTATGTCTCATACACAAGCGTGTATATACATACATAACAGTTCTAAATATAACCCTATTCAAAGTTGTCAATAAAACGATATGTAAGTAGGGAATTGTAAATAGATGTCAAACGATGATAATCCTCCCCCTGAAGATGTAACTTTGTATGGAAATATGTACATACATACGGGTGGCAGTTTAAGTTAAATTTAATGTTTTGACTGCTCTGACAACATATATAGGTTGTTATAAAAATAACACTATGAGTTCTATTACAGCATGTATGGGCAAGTAAACGTATGGCGTGAAATGGTCGGTCCGAACTTTTATAAAGCAACTATAATAGGTAAAAAAATGGGAATACATTTTTAAAATATTTAAATCTACAGTCATGGGATCGATATGTTACGAATATTTTGCAGGGAAATTTTGGAAAATATGACAATAATCTACAAAATTCTTAAAATATTTTAACAATTAATAATCCCAAATACTAAATTACATCCAATTCGAAAAAAACCCAATAGGGTTGTGCTATTTTAGAACGTGGGCCCATAACGAATATATTAAGATTTGGTAGAAACGGTCTCAAATGTCAAATCCATAGCGTCGAGCATCGAGAGACCTACCGATACAGTATAAGATCTTTTCCCGACAAGGAGATCTCTTCCCCACCACAGTTTACAATGGTTGATGTTGTATGTGTCATCCGTAACGCTAAGTCATCTAACGTGTTGGGCCTAGACGGAATATCCAGGGTTATTCTGAAACATCTGAATTAGACCAAAGTCCCCAATTTGTCGATAGCCACCCACGTCCTTCCGAAGCGTGGACAATGGGCACGGTAGTCCCGCTACTAAAGCCAGGCAAGTAAAGATGAATCATACAGGCCGAATTCAATTTTGTCATCAGGAGCGAAGACTCTTGAGGCATAACTCCACCCCAGGGAAAGCTATCTATTTACTAATTATCAACATGGGTTCCGTAAGTAGCACAGCACAAAACAGCATTGCACGCCATCTCCACACAGATAAGTCAAGACTTAACCAGAACTGGCCGTGCCATAGAAAAGTTTTGGAAGCGTTTGACCCATCAAAAGGCTTCGACACAGTCAATCATGCCACACTGTTTGAGGACATCGAGAACATTTCCCTCCGGCCCAGTTTGAAACGTTGGACTCCAGATGTACTTGGAGTTCTGGAATAAGAAGTCCAAACCCAGTAGAGTGAAGCGGGAGTTCCTCAGAGTGGAGTGATATCTCCGATATTCTACGCCGTCCAGACGACATCAGGATTTTTACGTATGTATGTATGATCATGGCATCGGTTCCTATATTTGAGAACATAAGTTTAACGTTGAACGCCTATCTCGCCGATTTAACGGCCTTCTTTCACACGAAGAATATGAAAATATCCGCAACGAAATCTTCGACCACATTGTTCACCACATGGACTGCGGAGATGAGAATGCAATTGAATTGAACTGCGAAGATGAGAATGCAAAATACATGGGGTCACATTCGACATAATGTAGAAATCGTCTGCGCAAACCTCAGCTATCTGCTATAAGTTGAAAAGTAGGAACAATGTCTTCAAATAGCTCTCCGGTATCACTTGGGGTGCATTATTGTGAATTGACTTACATTATGAAAACGTAAATAAAGTCGACATGTTTGACATTAGACTTGAGAAAAAACAGCTATTTTCCGATTTCGATTGTGCAGAATATCTGCCCAGCATATATAACAGACCCTCACACCACTCTACACTACCAAACCTACCCGACTTACTCCAGATTATCTGTGGTTGCAGCTTGTGGAAGTAGCTGCATTTCTTAATATAGAGACAGAACCAGACCGAATCAATCAAGAAGAACTATATTAGAAATCGGTAGAAATCGCTTATAACGTGGGGATCAAGTGACCGTAGAATTTGGTCGCTATAAGCGATATTTCGTTATAAACGATATCAAACTAAGGTCAGAACTGTTCTCGGGGATTTTGGAAACTGTCGTTATAAACGAGTTCGCCCGAAACTCATTCTCGTTATGCTAAAGGTCTTAGCCACAATTTTCAACCAAAACGTCTTAAATTCATTTGGCATGCTTTCAGAGAATAAAAAATCCTGCCATACCATTCCGAACGATTTTAGGTATTATTACAGCGCAACTTATGGCGAAGTTCGAACGGCCGAACTTGATCGGAATGACAAACATTTTAAAATATATGGCTTATATTACCTACATATATACAGCGTGTATTGTATTTGTAAGCAGTTTAATAATACATTAGTAAACATATGGAATTTTATAGGTCCATGATTTGACATATGTAATTTTTGGCTAATGATAATGACCCAACATTTTTTGAACGGACCTCGCATTTAATGATTTTAGACATATTCTGACCTACATTGCAATTACTGGTACATACACTCACGTATGTATATATCATTTTACACTTCCAAAAAATAAGTTAATATCTATGAATGTATATAATATTCCATTTGTATGTAAATATGTATGCTCTTATGTAAAAACACATATGTACATATTTCAAAATGCGCTTGTCTTATCCATGACTGCGTGCATATTCGACGACATTACTTACCTCAGCAACTATTTGTTGTTGATTTTCGGTGAGTTCTGGTACCATTGACATTTTCAATTTGCGCTATTGCTCGGATTCTGTGTGTTGCAATGTTCTGCTGCGATGCAAGCGATGTTGTTGTTGACGTTTTTGACAATGAATCGGCGAATGCCTCTATTTACCTGAAGGCAAATAATTATTATTTTTAGTTAAATTTGTTGATTGAAAAAGAAAAAATAATGACGCGGTTAAATATTTTTGGCACTTTTGAATACGCGACAAGAACAATGAACAAAAAAAAAATCGATATCTAGAAGTAGGAACTTAACACTAATCACAAATATGTTTTTGCACTAGTTTGGTAGTTTGACTATTGGCTGGTTGTTGGTTAGTTCGATTAGATCGAGTGGTTGAGATAAATCATGTTTGTCGGTTGTTCGTTTGTTTGTTGGTTGGTTTCATACACAGCTCAATCGTAAATTAACTCGAGTGCTTGTAGACTTATTCTTATGCGACTGTTATGGGTTAAGAGGGCACTTTTTATAACTTTCTTTTTTTATTTTTTGGCAAGTGAAACTGAGAAAAAAATTAACAACAGCAACAACACTACATAATTATAATGTTATTGCCCTTGTAATCAGCATGTTAATGTTTTGAAAACAGACAGACAGACATGCAGGCAGACATATGGCCGGACACTGCTAGGTGGGTCAATAAAACAGCCACGGAAGCTAAAATACCACCGAAAGAATATCCAATGTCTGCAAATATTTGTTGAACAGCTGAATTTTGTGGTTTGCCTTCAAATATAATTTTGTTTTTATTTTTTCATTCCTCAGTTTTATTTTTTTATTTTTAATTCTGTTCACACATTCACTCACACTCTGTTAAAGACGGTGCTGGTGTTGAACGAACAACAGCTGTGCGTTTAAAAAAGCGAATTATATTTTCAATGAAAAGCGATGTTTCAATGCACGCGGCTATTCTACAACTGGTCGGTCGGCCAGGTTCTTCTCCGTATTAAAACTCTTTTTTCCAACAGTGTTGAATAGCCGTACAAGTAGTAGACTCCAATGGAGCTGCTGGTTGGCTGTCGGAGAACCATGTGATAAGCGACTGAGTATGGTTTCTTTGGGGTTTTGTGAGATTGTGAGTGTATCTCGCTCTCTCGTTCTCATTTCTACGCCAAAGTATTTTGTTGGTGGTGTTTTGTTATGTTTTCAAAATGTAGTCGTCATTCGGAACAGCTGTTTTTGTTATTCATATGAGGCATTAAATTTGTTGGGTGGGGGCCAATGGGGAGCGTTGGGTGGTATCCAATTGTTGTTTGTTTGTGTGCAGAACAATATACATAAACAAAATAAACAATAAAAAATATAGTCAGCTGTTTCTTGCTTTGTTTTGTTACATTTCTAGCTGTCGTTGCCACAATATTTTTTGAAATTGTTCTCTCATATTCCACTATCTACAGCAGAGTCTTTTCTATAATTGGAAGAACAAGTCGAGACAGAATACAGTAAAAATGTTTTGGTATGAAAATGTCAGAATCTAAATTTTAAAAGTCAAAATAACAAATTATCTTAACTTTTATTATTAAGAAGACACATCCTTAGAAAAATATATGCGGAATTGCCTTAAGCGGTACTTCAAGGCTAAGCAGCATGTAGCTTTTCTTGGTTCGGGCAGCATGGAACTACACCTGTTCATGCACTAACAGTAATGAATATAATAAAAGGTAAATAATTCTATATTTGGCATGGAATTAGTGATCATCACGTCTCATTCATTGAGAATGTACAATGGCCAAATTTTCCAACACGAGGATAACCGATTTTATAATTAGATTTCACCAGGTTGAAGTAAAATCGTGTCAGTCGTTTCAGTTTTTAATTTTACAACACATATGTTAGTTATATACTAAACTTAAACATCTATTACACCATACATTTAAATTTAAAAAATCACAGGTAGAATTGAAACCCCGATGAAATGAAATATTAGTATTTAGTATTTATTGTGATATAATATTAGTACAATATTATTAGTATAATATTACATAGTTCCAAGAACAATAGGGGTTTTCTTTGGCCCGAGCCGAACTTACTTGCAGACCGAGGGACGAAAACACAAGTCTATATCGACTCAGTTAATCGAGATATGGCGATCGGTATAATAAGAGGTGGGTCAAGGACCAATATTTCATGGCATTACAAACTCTTGGGCCACACAAAGCTATAATACCCTTACAACATAGTTGTGTAGGGTATACAAACTAATTTCGGATAAAAAATAAATAATATTTCTAATCAACTCCTAATTTGAAAAGTTCTATTATGAAAGATTTTTGAGGTGGAAGATATCTATTATGAGTTCATATTACTGCCTTGCGCATAGATAATGTCGTGTTGACCAAAATAATGTAATTCCAACTTAGAATCAGCACAAACTCTGATCAATATTCAATATAAATTATTCCCATTTTATTTGAGCAAACAGCGTTCACGGTTTTGCTTGCTTACAAAATATAAAGAAGTGGATAGAAAGGTCTTCTAAAATTGAAGGCTCAGATTGACTCAAAACAATGAGCAAACATTTACATTTCAAAACAGTGTTTTGATTAACAAATTTCCTAACAACATTTGTTATATCAAAAACATAACGCCAGCGCAATTCCAGGGGTTTTCTAGGGATAATGGAGGAAGGCTTATGGGTCAAAGGCTAAAGAATAATAAAAGTTTTTATCGTGAACCATATGACTTTGTTACTTTGTCGATTCGGGACCATCGGAGAATAATTAAATATTTTCTTTACGATATTATAAAACGATATCATTTTCATACAAAACTCAGCTGCTACTACTAGTAGTGTTGCCGAAAGTGGGCATTTATGCCCAAAAGTGGGCATAAATAATGTAAAATTTACGACTTGGGCAGATTTTGGGCATTTTTTCGTTCCCGGCACATTTAAATTTTTTTCTATATTTCTATATGCCCTACACAAATATGTTGTGAGAAGCGAAATATTACTACAGCGAAATGTTACTCCAAGACTACCGATATATTTCGACTAGCTGATTCGATTTACACATGTTTTTTCCCCCGTCTGTCCATTATAATTTGTATTTATGGATTAATAGCCATTTGTATGTGGATTCGACTAATACACGACTAATACACTCCTCATCATAACTATATATGGACCTTTTATTCAATTGGTATGTTAGTTGATAAATGCAGTGGACCCATTAAGTTATTGTACACAATAAAATGATCAAACTCTCCCTTATTTTGAATCAAATTCAAAAATTCTGTCCATCATACTGTCTATCAAATTTTGTTCGCAAATATTCATCAATTGACCGCCATTCATCAATAATCACTCCTTTGGGCTAAACACAGTTTGGTATTGGCGGTTTTCTGCATAGACACGACGAGTCAAGATTCTCCATATGTTCTCAATCGGATTCTGGTATGAAGTTGGAATATTTTTTGATTTTAACCATTTTTAAGTATGGCGACTTTTATGAACTGACGAATTGCCCTGCTGAAAAACGAGTCTTTCATTGTTACTGCTTTCCCAAAATGGCAATAATTTGTCTTCCAAGACTTAATCGTACTCCATTGAATTCATTCGACAACTAGGAAATGCCAAATCAAAATGTTCCCATGACCATTAAAGATCCGCCACTGAAATTTTGTTGTAAGGATCGTGGTTACTTTCGTAGATCTCTCCAATAACAATTTAAACCATCTGGGCCATTAAGATTGAATTTTTTCTCATGTTCAGTCGTATTTGTGTAGGGTGTTGTATGGTCAGCCCCGGTTTACTGGGGTCTATGAAACTACTCTCTAGTGCCAAGGAGGAAAATTTTTTATTATATTGTGACCGATAATTGCACAAAATTTATATTATGAATAAGTATTAAGGCCTTTCATTTTTAGACCACACAGTATTTACCATTCTCTTTATATAAGGTATATGCTTTTTTGAAAGAGTTATGCCCTAGAGGCCACATATTCGGGTTTAACACTAGAACGCCGAAGGCGGTCATTTTGACCGCTTTCCAATTTCAAGTACAAAAGCGACTGTGCATTTAATGACACTTTTTTTAAAATTTGGTGAATTTTTTATGATAAACGTAATTTTATGAGGTACAAAAAGTCACCATATTTAAAAAAAAAAACTGTCATTAAATGCACAGTTGCTTTTGTACTTGAAATTGGAAAGCGGTCAAAATGACCGCCTTCGGCGTTCTAGTGTTAATTCAGATTTGGTTAGATATTACGATGTGCAATCAATGCATGAAATCAATATTTACAGCCTTTTAAAATGTTAACCCTGAAACATTGACCCGTGGATTCCCATCTTCGAACTTGATATAGTTTTGGTAAAAGTAGGTGGAAAGATTGAATCAGACATTCCGTTCAACTGATATTGGATGAAAAAAAATTAAAAATTTCGACGCTTTGTGGGGAGGTACTGGAAGGAGTGGCTCGATGTTCTCCATCTCCGATCTTGATTTAAACATTAAAATGTGCTATGTTTGGATGAAATATGTTACTATCGTGCGCACCAGCCATCCACACAGACAGACGGTCATTTGTAAATGGACTCCAAATGGAGTCTAAACGAATATTTCGATTAGGGAATTTTTCCGCAACAAAGTACAAATATTTAAAACAAATACATTAAAAAATTAAAAATCAATTTTCCCATACTTCCATGCTGTAAAACAGTGTACTTTTCAGCATTTAAAAAAATATAGAACAAAAAGGACCCTCGCTTCTAATATTTGTATCTTTTCTTTAACGCTTAAATCTTTGGGCATAAATTGTTGATTTTGGGCACTTTTTAGGCGGAATTTTGGGCGGAAATAAAATTTTCAAACGGCAACACTGACTACTACCCCTTGTTAATGGATATAACGGAATATGAAATAGAAACCATCAAACATGTCCGAATGTTCTTCCCCCCACAAACATATTAAACGTCTCGCACTTTGTATAAATTAAGTATACTTTTTTAAATGATGTACTTTCAATTCATTATATTTCAGATCCTAATTCTACAAACAACTACAAACG